TCTTGTCATTGTCTAGTTGTGTGCAGTGCTGTCCTGGGCAGAGTCTGTGTGTCATTCCCGCAGCAGCCCTGTGGTTGACGGCTATAATTTAGCCTCTGGAGTAAGTTTCCCACTGTAAGAGTCTGCCTTCTGTCAGTCTCTTTCTTCAACTTTCTCTCTCTCTTTTTTTTTTTTGTATAGTAACTGATAATGTTTTGCATTAAAGACTTGTCTGTAAGGCTATATGCGTTTGAAGCCATTTACTTTCCATCTATGTCATTTTCTAAATTAAGCTCCAAAATGTGTGATTTAGATGTCTAAAAGAATTACTGCTGTATACTGTGGAAAAAAAAATAATTCATAATCCTGTCAGCTCAGGGAACAGATGACAGTAAAAATTTTATATAGACCTAGAAGAAATGCAATTTAGACTCTTAAACTCTCAAAGTGTTTTAGAACCTTTGGGATTTCTTCCACCTACTTTGCAGATAAAGAAAGTGTGGCTCAGAGAGATAAGTACTTTAGCATCAAGGTCTCAATTTTGAGCGTGCCTCTAACTTTCCCTTTTTATAGCTATAATGTGTATGTGATGCGGGTCTTGGGGTGGGGTGGGGTGGAGGAGGACCTCAGCTCATCTCTAGGCTTTTGGGCCCCGCTGCTTTTTGCCTCCAATGGAATTTAGGTGAAGTCCTGGACAGTAATTTCTGAACCCACAAGCAGACCATCTGCGCACAATTGCGTGTGTAGCTTTGCCAAGAACAATATTCTCCTCTGTGTTTCTAAGAATTGCACTGCAGTTTGAAAGGGTCTCCCTGCCCCTGAGACGTATGCTGAGAAGCGTCCTCAGGAACTATGAACAACTGTGGAGAATTTTGGTGGGTGGGTAACACTTGCTCTTCAGGTGAGCGGGAGTTGGTGATTTCATGACTCTTAGCCTGTACTTACAGAGAACCCTGTGCTATATTTCTCAGAGCTAAACCACTTTTTACTGAAATTATTGTCAACAGTGGGTCCTTTTGCCCCTTTATCACATTCCAGGACATTTAGTAATCATATTTTGGTTATCACAGCTGGGGAGGCGAATGCTACCAGTGTGTGGTAGTTAAAGGACAGATGTACCACTAACCCTCCTGTAATGCACAGGGCAGTCCCACAAGAAAGAGTTAGTGACCCCAAATGTTGACGGTGCCACAATTAAGGACCCTTGTGTAGTGTATGTTCCTATTTCATCCCTTAATGCACAATGGTGACTGTTTATATGCTTTAGTTGAATATTTTCATCAGCACTGAAAATAGAAACGTAAAGGAAGACTGTAGAAAGAGAGCCCAGATATCTTTGGGGATTCCCAAATAATTAGAAAGTTCCAAACATATTGCTTTATAATGGTTTCTTTTTAAAATCCAATTTCATACTCTGTTTCATTGAGAAAAACATTTCTCGACCTGGAGGAATATTAAATGTTATTTTGGTCATTCATCAAATATTTTCCATTTGGCTCTTATGCGTCAGATCATATTTTAGAGTCTAAGGACAATTATCAGAAGAAGGGGGATGATAAATATGCACACAGTAGCAACTAAATATATATGTGTGTGTGTGTATATATATATATAATATATATGTGTATGTTGTTGTTATGTGCCGTCGAGTCGTTTTCGACTCATAGCGACCCTATGTACAACAGCCCTAAACTC